GGTGGGGTTGGGGGGTGGGATGAATTGGGAGATTGGGATTGACATCTATACACTGATGTGTATAAAATGCATAACTAATAAGAACCTGCTGTATTAAAAAAATAAATAAAATTCAAAGAAAAACAAAAATTGGGGGCTTCCCTGGTGGCACAATGGTTGAGAGTCCGCCTGCCGACGCACGGGACATGGGTTCGTACCCTGGTCCGGGAAGATCCCACACGCCACGGAGATGCTAGGCCCGTGAGCCATGGCCGCTGAGCCTACGCGTCCGGAGCCTGTGCTCCGCAACGGGAGAGGCCACAACAGTGAGAGGCCCGTGTACCACCAAAAAAAAAAAAAAAAATTTGTATATTCTTCTGTTAATAAAACATGATTTCTTAAAAATAAATAAAGTTTGAATCTTAAATTTGAAGATTCACATATATATGATTATCATTCCAATGTTATTTAAGAAAAATACAATTCCGATGATGAACACCAACAGTATAATAGATGTGTAAAATAAGCTTACCTCAAAATTCACAGGCAAGTTCCGTTTAAGTGCAATCTCAAACACTTGACTTATTTCAGATTTATTGAGATTTTCTTCTTCTGATTCTCTTCCGTTCACCTAAAGAAAGAATAATTGGTTAGTAGTGAACTCTTGTTAAAGCGGTCAAGATCCCAGTTGTGATGATAAATCTTAAAAGCACTGAAACTAGGCTTTATGGATGCAACAGTAGCCCCGTGAACAGAGCCACATGTGTTCCATGTGTCACTGAAATTAAAAGGTTAAAAAAAAGCGTCCTATCAAACTTTGGCTAGTTTCTACCTCATAAATCCAACATAAACAGTCCACACAAAACAGGCCTTTGGGTACGGATCAGTCTAATCGTGTTGTAGTGAGCCACGGCCGCTCAGGGAGAGGGACTCCCGAAGCCCCCTCAAGGACAGGCAAGCCACATTCTGGAAAAAGTCCAAGTACAGTCTATGTGGGGCATGGCAAGGACAAATGTAAGTCTCTCCACCTAGGTATGTGGGTTTCTTATTTGGACAAAAAAAATCCTTGGAAACCACCTTTTAAAAAAAGTTGCGGTGGAACAATTACAAAACCACCACGTGCCTCATACTTCACTGCTGCTGGCAAAAACGCAAGGTGCAGACTAATAAAGAACCTTGAACAAAAGCTGACTCCAGCTTTCTAACAAGGTTCATTTACAGTCCTCCACAGGCTGCGACTACAGAGGGGCAGAGATCTTCTCTGTGCACACGGACCACATGGGGTCTATACTGTGTGGCAGTGATAATACAAGAAATGAGATAAGCTCAGTAATAGCAAAGTGACCCCAAAACATGGCAAGACAGCTGTGTTTTTCTTATTACTGGGATTCTTTTGTCAAAGAATTTGTAAAATCCTATTTCCAAGATAAGAACTATATAACAGGAACCCAAGGCTGAAATCACTGACTAGGCAAGATGTAGCACCATCCAGGATTTGATTTGTTGTGCATTTCCTTAGGTTTATCAGGTAGATCCTAACCCTAACACAGGATCCGTATTTCAAGCTATAATTAAAAGAAAGAAAACTCTAAATAAAAAAAATAATAATATAATTAAGGATATAATCCTGTATAAGTAAATTTAACCAGACACTGTAATTCTTTCTCTCCTTCCATGATGATAATGTTTTCTTTCCAATCTGGTTTCACTTCACTCACTACCTGGTCAAAACTGTTTGCATAGCAACTTCTGGTGATTAATTAAGCCAAACACACTTTTATGCGTGTTGTTTAAATCATAAGGAGAAAGAGGGCCTGCCTTTTTATGAGTGAATCCTTAAAGCCAGAAATGTTCAAGCAAGGTGTCTTAGAAGGCTAGAGTTCCAAAGAGGTTTGATTTGAAATTTATTTTTTAAATAGGTTTAAACAAGAACAACAAAAAAAATACTGTATTTTAAAAAGTAAGCATGTTCAACAATAGTGCTGAGAAAACCAGATACCACACACACAAAAATGAAGTTGGACTCTTACCTCATACCACATACACAAATTAACTCAAAATGGATCAAAGACCTAAGCATAAGGGCTAAGAGTATAAAGCTTTTAGAAGAAAATACAGGGGAAAAGCTTCATGACACTGGATTTGGGAATGATTTCTTGGATATGACACCAAAAGCATAGGCAACAAAAGAAAACCAACAGGACTTCCCTGGTGGCACAGTGGTTAAGAATATGCCTGCCAATGCAGGGGACACGGGTTCGAGCCCTGGTCCAGGAAGATCCCACATGCCGCGGAGCAACTAAGCCCGTGCACCACAACTACTGAGCCTGCGCTCTAGATCTAGCCCGCGTGCCTAGAGCCCATGCTCCGCGACAAGAGAAGCCACCGCAGTGAGAAGCCCGTGCACCGCAATGGAGAGCAGCCCCCGCTCGCCGCAACTAGAGAAAGCTCGCACACAGCAACGAAGACCAAACACAACCAACAAATAAATTAATTTTTAAAAAAAGAAAACCAATAGATGAATTGGGACTCAAAATTTTAAACTTTTGTACAAAAAGAAACCAAAAAAACTTCAGTACATTGAAGGACACGATTAAGAGAGCAAAGACAACTCACAGAATGGAAGAAAATATTCGCAATCATGTATCTGATAAAGAATTAATGTCCAGAATATAAAAATAACTACAACAACAAACAATGCAATTCAAAAATGGAGAAAGAATTTGAATAGACATTTCTCCAGAGAACATATACAAATGCTCAACATCACTAATCATAGAGAAATGCAAATCAAAACTACAATGGGATACCACTTCACACCCATAAGGACAGCCACAGACAATAGCAAGTGTTGTCAAGAATGTGCAGAAATTGGAATCTTTGTACACTTCTGATGGGAATGTAAAATGGTACAACCTCTGTAGAGAACGGTATGGTGGTTCCTCAAAAAGTTAAACTTAGAATTACAATAAGAGCAACTTCACTGCTAAATATATACTCAGTAGGGACAGATACTTGCACATCAGTGTTCATAACAGCATTATTCACAATAGCCAAAAGATGATAACCACCCAAACATCCATCAACAGATGAATGGATAAACAAAATGTGGAATACTGATGCAATGGAATATTATTACTCAGTCTTAATAAGGAATGGAATTGTGAAACAAGCTACAACATGGATGAATCTCGAAAACATTACGATAAATGAAATAAGCCAGACACAAAAGACAAATATTCACTTATACAAGGTATCCAGAACAGGCAAGTGCGGAGACAGAAGCAGGACAGAGGTTTACAGGGGATGAGGATGGGGGGGAAGGTGGAGTTTTGTTTAATGTGTACAAGAGTTTCTGTGTGAGATGATGAAAACGTTTTGAAGATGGACAGTGGTGATAGTTACATAACATTGAGAATATATTTTATGTCATAGGACTATACACTTAAAAAATGGTTAAAATGGCATCCTTTATATTATCTATATATTTGACCTTAATTTTTTGAAAAGCAACAAAGAAAACTATGTGTTTCATACCAAACAGTAACACACTAGAGACCATCAACACATTAACTTGTGCTAACAGGCTCATTTTTGTACACAAACAAGTTTTCTGACAGCTGTTTATTTGAAGAGTATCCACAGATTTTTTAAATAAATGAGTTATTTTAAAAACTGGTCCACTCTCGTGATAAATAACTATGTCAATGAGAATGTTTTCCTTAGGTGCAACAAGAACCAAATTTGGAAATAAACCAGGTGATGAGGATGATAATATTTCTATTGCCATGCAGGTACCCCAATTTTCATCTTTTGTTCACTATATCAGCTCAATTCCTTTTAACATTTATTCTTAGTTATGACCTATCCCAAACATACAGAAAAGTACAGATAATAACGTAAGAGGCAATTGTGCTGGATTTAACAAATGCCAACACTAGACACTACTGACATCAACTTTTTTTTTGCTTTTATAAGGAAAACAATGAATGAAGCCCTTCTCTCTCTTCTTCCCATAGAAGAGTTAACTGCTATTCTAAAATGGGACTGGACCGCTCCCAGCCATGTGGCTTTTTTTTCCAAATGGACCAAAACAAATATATAGTATAATTTTGTGTTGTGAAAATTCACATAAATCATTCTCATTGATTGCCTTTTATAAATATTCTAAAGTTCAAACTTATAAGTTTTACTAATGAAATGTTATTTTTCTATTTTGCATATTGAGGTTCCACATAAGTCTGATAAAAAACAATGGTCTACTACTAAATTTTAAACTCTCAGCCAGTAGTTCTCAACCATAGCAGCATTAGAATCACTTGGGAGCTTTACAAATACAGATGCCAGAGCCCTGCTCCAGATAAGTGAACTCAAGTTTCTGCAGATACGGCCTGGATATATATATATATATATTTTTTTTTTTGGCTGCGTTGGGCCTTCGTTGCTGCGCGCGGGCTTTCTCTAGTTGTGGTGAGCGGGGGCTACTCTTCGTTGCGGTGCATGGGCTTCTCATTGCGGTGGCTTCTCTTGTTGCAGCGCACGGGCTCTAGGCACGCAGGCTTCAGTAGTTGTGGCTCGCAGGCTCTAGAACGCAGGCTCAATAGTTGTGGCACATGGGCTTATTTGCTCTACAGCATGTGGGATCTTCCTGGACCAGAGTTCAAACCCGTGTCCCCTGCAATGGATTCTTAACCACTGCGCCACCAGGGAAGTCCCAGGATATCGTTTTATATATAGTATTTGATTTTTTTTTTTAAGTCCCCAGGTGATTTTACTAGCAAACAGAGTTGAGATTCACTGCTCGAAGGTATTGCTTCTAAAGGAATTGCAAAAGGGACAAAGCAGCCAGTAAAATAAAAATGCAAAACAGGAAACAGATATACATTTATCTGGAAGTGAGATTATGTTGCTCTTTTACATAAATAATTTTAATATTATCTGGACTGGACAAAATGTTGCAATGGGGGAAGCAGCAAATGACTCAAAACAAATCCACAAATACCATTCCCAGTGAGATGAGGAAAGTGTAGCGGGCCCTCAGTCTTACCTTCATGAAGTGGGAATTACTGTTAACATCAATCCCATAGTGTATGGTTCAGCAATAAAATCTAGGCAACATTAAGAAAAGAAAAAAACACTCTGAACCATGCTTAACCCTCAATATGCCAGGGAAAAATAGTAATCACCATTTACCATCTGGCTCCAATGGGCCCTCTTTATTTTTCTATATTTAAAGACATTTTACAAATAACATACAGAATAAAAGGACAACAAAAGTCATTTCATTAGAGACTTTAATAAAAAATTAAAATAACAAACCTAAGTTTTTATTCCAGGTTTATAGTCAGGAAGGAAGGTACATATACCCAAAATGGGCAAGGTCATTAAATGCAACTAACTGCTCACCAGCTGTCACGCCTGATCTTTGAGCACTGCCCATAGTAACGATGCCAGATTTCAAATCCACCTCCAATGGGTTCTAGCTTATCATGATTCTGATTCTTCTTGTACTGGTATTGTCAAAACACATTACTTTTGAAACTGACTCATAACTTTGTTGAAGGGAGAAAAGCCATCTTCTTTGCTCTGTAATTACTGGGTTGGCCAAACAGTTCGTTCGGTTTTAAGTAA